AAACATTGGCCTTATATTCCCTTACGAAAATGTTCTATAGAATCCTATAGAATATGCTATAGCATATTCTAAATCCTATAGAATATTCTATAGGACTTCTTATCCTATAGAATATTCCATTGCCATATTCTATAGAATTTACAGATCCTATAGAATGTTCTATAGGACTTCTTATCCTATAGAATATTCCATTGCCATATTCTATAGAATTTACAGATCCTATAGAATGTTCTATAGGACTTCTTATCCTATAGAATATTCCATTGCCATATTCTATAGAATTTACAGATCCTATAGAATATTCTATAGGACTTCTTATCCTATAGCATATTCCATTGCCATATTCTATAGAATTTACAGATCCTATAGAATATTCTATTGTGAATGATATATTCTATAGAACATGCTGTACACAATAATCTATAAAATGTTATACAGAATGTGATTTTATGTAATAATTAAGGCAATTTAAAATATAGCAATTTTAGTACACGATTGATATTGGTCGAGAAATGTGTTTTCATCTGTCTAGAAACACAAAAGTTGAATAGCATCATATTCGTATTTTGTGTGAGGTCCTCTCGACATACTTTTTAAATCTTAATGTTAAAATTTTCCGCAAAAATCATTCGTTTTGTAAAGACAAATCACAAGTATTTTAGACATATCTGTTTCATAATATGCCTGTTCGCAGGTTAGATGGCGGGCGTTTTGCCGAAACAAGGCCGCAAAGTTATGTGGGACTTGTGTAACTGACACGCATAACGCATAATTTTCAAATTGTGAGCGCGTCTTTGTCATTCGTTCAACGTTTTATAACTGATACTGGTAGAATTTAGCGAGTTTTTCTTTCGTATTTGAACATGAAATACGCAGTACTTGAATTTGTCGATGAGGAGTATAGAAGGTTGGTGAAACGCGCTGGATTATGTGAGAAGAATCAGAAGATTCGGATAATTTTGTGAATGGTACATGACTATAGACTAGGATCGTGAGAAAGAAATTGTGTCAAGGCCATCAGAAAATTTCTGAAAGGTTCCATTGACCCATCTACAATTTCAACAATAACATGTGAAGCTAAAGTATTGGAATTAAGTGGTGAGTGTGTTTGTAGTTATATGCTATAGCCTATATGTTTGTGCAGGCAATTAACAAATATTCTCTATACCCTTTATATTGTATATAGAATACTTAATTTTTAATATATCATTCTAAGAGTGAATATAATGTCTCAAGTGTTTAATTTTGCATTTACTATTAAATTTGCAGATTTGCTTATGTCCAAACATCATACTATAAACCAAAGGTCAAAATGGTATAATTATATTTATAGGTGCCCTTATGTCCCAGTGTCTCAATAACAAAGACTCAACAGAAGGTTTTAAAAGGAAAAGGCAATTAAATTTAAAGGATTTTGTGTACTCAATATTATGGGTATATTGTGGAGCCGGGAGGTTCTGTCCACACACTCCATGACAGGAAAGATCTCCAATGCATTAAAGGAGAAGGATGCCAAGCCACAACTTGACAAGGAAAAAGTCAATGGCATATGTGGTAAGCTGATAACTTATTTCAGTTAGCTAAATATATATTGTATACTATTTCATCACTCACAGCATGGTAAGACAAGTCCTGCATTTTTAAATAATTTTTCAATCACTGATATTCCTTAATGTAGAGTATACTTCAAAAAGATATGGTTGTCCTGCATCTGAAGTACGTGTGACAAGTAATGCTAAGAAAATGCTAAAAAGAAGTCCTGCGAAAAATAATGAACTGAGCTACTTATACTTGTACTGATACATATATGCCAATATTTCTAATATATATCTTTTTATTCTTGAAGTCATTTTCATCATTGATGTTTTCTCATGGCTAGACATAATATATTGGTAATATTGCACAGAAGAGTGAATAGCACATCTTAATTGTGTAATATTGCAATTGCATGTTCTGTAGAATATGCTACTGTATGTAGCATATCCTATAGCATTCTATAGCATCTTCTATAGCATCTTCTATAGAATCTTCTATAGGATCTTCTATAGAATCTTCTATAGCATCTTCTATAGCATCTTCTATAGAATCTTCTATTGAATGTTCCATAGAATATCCTATAGAATATTCTATAGAATTAGTGCCAAAATCTTTTAGAATATTCTATAGGATATTCTATAGAATATTTCAATAGAATATTCTATAGAATATTTTCGTAAGGGTTGCCCAGCACAAAGTAAAAGACACCTAAAAACAAATTTTATATGTGATTGGGCAGCTAACATGCTTATGAAATAAGCTGTTCATAGATTCATAGACATAATATAAAGACACACACCAATTTTATGAATCTTTGCTTTTGAACCTAAAGGATTGGCTATTTCTAGATCATCATAATAGCCCAACAGCTGCAGGGCATCACTGTGGAGGGAGAATACTGGATGACTCTTGAAAAAACCCCCATCCATTACATCTCGAAGAACACCATCACATGAAAAATGTGGATTTTCAACTTCCTTTAAAACATCTGGGTTTTGAAGAAGTGCCTAAAATATATGATCAAAAAAATGTTTGAAAAAAATATTTGCAACAAATGGATGCATCCAGTGATTTGAATCTTGAAAAGCCAAAGTAATGGCATTTAGCACCAGAATAGTGACATCAATTTTTGCTAGTCTTTCATATAAAATATATTTTTACCTCCAAAGTCTTTAATAATGGAACTTGATAACCAAAAACTGTGACACGTTTAAGTATTTTTCTCCCTTGTCGAAAATCACTTCTCCACTGTTTTCCCATCTCAACTTCTATTGGTTCCTGCAAATCAGTTAAAAAAATATAAAGCAAGCTGACAAAGCTGGCAGCTGGTTCAGGTTTGGTAGGTTGGTAACTTACCACCAAATTGAAATGACGCTTAAAATATGATCTTTGTTGGTATTCTGAATCAACTCCGTCGAAGACACTCTCTGCTGAAAATAACTTTTCCACATCTTGGTCAAATTGCAATTCTTGACCAGGATTACTGTTTATCTTTTCGACAAGCGATTTTTTGACTATGTCCAAATACTCAGTTAGTAGATTTTTCGCTGAATCTTTGACCAAGTCCACGGCACTCTGGGTGAGCATACCTCTTGTTTTGGAACATAAAAGGAATTTGGCAGCATGGCGTTGCATTAGACTTCGTGCTTCTCCCTCGTCAAACATCTCCTGAAAATGGTTCTCATTTTCCCCATCATTTAAGTCTTCTTCCACTGTTAAAGCCTCATGCTGTCTGTAATAATGTTTTTGGAGACTGTTTATCTTTGTAAACGACCGTGGACAGCTGTTACAAAATATCTTGAAATTCGGCTCGTTTGAGTGTATTCTAACCAAGTGATAAAAAAAAGCTTACTTTGTCCGCTGCAACATACAAAATTACAGTAATCGCAGCGAAATTCAGTTGACTCGGCCATTTGTATATACTAAAAACACATTATTTCGCCTTGTGCCTTACTGCCTTTTAATACTTAGTTTATTTCCCAGTATGTTTTCAATCGATATTCGCCGAAAAATTGGAGCATTTGCAAAAGGCCTGGGAGCCATTCTATTCTCTCACGGTAATGTTACCACTGGGAATACCATATATGTTATTTAAAGTAACACGTGACCGTAAGTCTGCCAATAGGAATTCCCTATGGTGTGATGCGGGAAATTTAGACCTGCTTGTAAAAATTTGACTGATATCTTGCCCGTTCGACGTTCCAAGAAGATTACTCACAACATTTACTCCGTTTTTTAAATATAATTTCATCACAAGTATGGCTGTGTGTTTAGTAGCAATGTTCACTGAAGACCTTATTGCTCACTTGTTATCAAAAGGCATCTCAAGAGAAATTTGCGATCAACTGAAAGGTATGCCTCATGTGGTTGAACCATTGCCAAAATGCTAAAGCGTTTAAGTTTTTATGTGTGCGTTAAGCTTTCTATTTTATTATACAGTTTAATGAATACGATCTACTAACAGTTTATGATTATAATGTTTCAGAAAATGCTATTGATGGGGGTACATTGAACTTTTTGATGCAAGACATCGACGAATTCAAAGCGGTCTTACCTAAATCTGGCTATCGAATTCAACTAAAACAAAAATTGGCCTTTACTTTATCTGCGACAACAGAAAACGTAAGTTTACTTTGTTTAAACAGGATATAAATATAAACTTTGATTTAACAAGAATATTAATTTGTCGTTAATTCCTTTAGTTTGCCTAACAGGCTTTTATATAACAGTACTAATTGAAAATTATAAGCCGAGAGAAGGCACTGTCACATTGGGCAATTGAAATAATCAATTGTATTCCCATCACTAATAATGACTACTTCTCAATATTTTACATGAAAGTATTTACTATTTGTCAATAATAGGAAAAAATGCCTCAGCAAATTGTGATGCCACATGATGATGAACCACACACATCAGAGCTAGAACCACCAATGCCAACTGAACCACCTTTGCCAGTGGAACCACCTTTGCCAGTGGAACCACCTTTGCCAACCATGGCATGTGAAAGCAGTGTTGAAAGTGTGAAAGCAGGTGTTCAAATGAAGAAACCACTCAAGAGTCCCAAACCTATTACTAATAGTTCAGATGCCACAGCCCTACCAAACACTCTCCCATTTCCTGAGAGTTTCTCTGTGCGAGTGCAGATGGCAATAAAAAATGGCTCTGTTGCCCCTGAGCGAACACAGCTGATTGCAGATGTAGGGACCTTTTATTATGGTTTGTCCAGCCACCCAAAGCAAGGTGACTACAAGAGGATTGCCATTTTAGTGTGCGAGAAATTCCCTGAGTTGAGAGATTTCAATCAAGCAAGCTATTGGGTAAGTGTCACAAGAGGGAATATTCTGTATATGTACTTAAAATATACTTGTCATGGCAATGATCCTAATCCCAAATATCATATTTTGTCTACATATATAGGTATCAATCCAGAAACAATTGTCGCAATTCTTCAGAAACCTTCGGCGGCGGACAGTTAACAAAGCGATGCATGGACAACCCCATGGCCATGCAAATGAAAGTGCATCAAAGAAAATAAAACTGACTGCAGAGGATGATGAGCAAGCTCAAAAAAGAAATATGGAGCTTTTGAAAAAAGCAAAACCTGGTGCAATGGCTCCTAAGACATTTGCAAAACTCTTTGTCGACACATTTAATGAGCGGAGGAAATTTATCGAAAATCAAGCTACATCTTCTACAGAGGTCTTGGAGGAATGTCCATATCTTGGTCATCCAAATGTTGTAAGTATCTTCACATGATGTCTTGTGCAGTCATGTATACACATGTAGTTTTTAGGGTATAATATTAAAACAATGGGTAACCCTATTGAAGCAATGGCAACTTGTTTCAAACACCTGCAAAATGTCTTTGATTATCTTAATTAGGTAAGAAAAGAAGTTAGCAGAATCATTGGGCAGAAAAATTGGGAAAAAGAGGCTGAAAAGAAGTTGGAGACTGCATTGAAAGCTGTCATACAAATTAAGGATAAGGAATGTGAAATGAGAAGTGAACAGGTTGTGGAGGCTGTGGAGTAAATTGAGAGAAAGACAAAAAGGAACAAAGGAACAACAACAAGTGTTCTAAAATTCAAAGATGTATGTATTTGTCAATTGCACCTTGCACACTCTGGTAGATAGCTGAGTGGCAAATCAATGATCTTAATCTTTAGGTTTACTCTCAATGCTGGAATTGTAATTAACTGTTTTAATTTTATTTTACAGCCTGCATCCACCATGAGACCAGAAACCTTGTTCAAAGACAAGAATGTCGAGTTTCGCTTGGTTGTGATTGGGTCTCCTGAGGAGGTCAACCAAGTTTTTGTGGCAGGTGAAGACCAGTCATTTATTGAGAGTGAAGGTATACTCCAAGGTTTGATCGACCTGCTTTGTTGTTACTATGCATATCACGTCTCCTACCCTGAAAGTATGGAAGGATGCTTGCTTTTCCTACAAGACATTCTTTTGCCAACAAATGATGGCAACTACAGAGGAACAAAATTTTCCTCATTTATGGCAAAGGTGCACCAAGGAATTAAGGACAATTCTGATTAGAACAATTTATACATGCCTGGACATTCATGCTTATATTATATGCATGCCATATATTTAAGGCAAATTATTATTAAGGCAAATTTTCCATATGACTTTTAAATATTTGTTGTGAATATATGTAAGTGTTTTCTTGTATGATAATGTTTTCTATTTTTAATACATATTTCACTGTTTATGGACAAACTGTTCTGACTATTCATTCTATTTAGATAATTGCCCTAGGCAATTTGATCTTGTGTGTTGGGTAGCACACCTTAGTGTGTTCCAAAACACACCTTGCACCACCTAGCAGTATGTGTCTTGGAACACACCAAAGTTGTGTAGGAAAACACACCAAAGTTGTGTAGGAAAACACACCACAGTGTGTTTCAAAACACACCTTAGTGTGTACTAAAGCACACCTTTTGCAAAACACACCTTATGGTGTGTCAAATTCTGGACAAGCAAGAAACACACCTTAAGGTGTGTTTTGGGACACACCTGCGTGTGTAAGAAAACACACCTTAACCTGTGTTATATTCTGGACAAAAAAGGTGTGTTATTTGAACACACCTTTTTTTAGAGTGTGAATACGTACAATCCAGAAAGTCAGTTTATACAAGACCTTCGAGAGAAAGGTGAGTGTACTGTCTGACGCTTTTGAAATACTATCTTTATTTGTGTTTAGAATCTTAACAATCACGACTGCCGTAGAACATTCTAAATCTACTGAATTAATTGAAACGTATAGATTGTGATGTAACCCAACCACTGTCAGTTGTTAACCATATATAGAATGCATATCTCTTGCTGTTCTGATCCACCTAAAATAGCGTGATATAGCTATGACGCCTGTCTATGGAGTTATATTTCATTCAAACCCGTTCACAATTTGTAAGTTACGACCTTTTCCAAAACAGTAAATTGATTGCGGCTGGAAAACCTTTCATCAACATTTCTCATCAACACATAACAAACCCTAAATTCACTTCATAAAATTCTGAATGATTTTGTCAGGATTTAAATTTTAAACGTTTTCCTTTTTTTTCAGAAGTCCCTGGTATGAAGGGAGTAGTATCGTCATCTAAAGGATTACACACCAAACTACGTCAAGCTGCTCAACGGAAAAATGGAGTAACAAAAGAACGCAAACAGTTGATTAAAATGGGAAATAAGCTGAGAGCTGAATTGTTGAAATATAAAGGTATTTGAAGGGATATTTTGGAATATCTATTAAGATGGCATTAATATATATACGTTAGTCGAAATAAATTACTGTAAGAATGAATTGAATACATTTTTCCTATAATCATGATGCGTAGCTTCTGTTGTTCGCAAAAGACTAACTGCATGTGCAAAGAGATCCCGCGATGATTACGTCACTACCGCATGTAGGGTAGTGACACGTGACCGGGCTCCAGAACACCGCGGAATAACGTCTGGGCAAACGCCGGTCGGTTATAAGCATATGGCGAAAAACTTCAATTGGAACTGTTGAAAGAAAACATGCAAGTTAATTGATAAGATATAAGTTAAACTTGTACTTGAAAATGTACCGAAAACGGGTGGACTAAACATTCGTTTAATGCGTCCTTTGATTGAAATATGAAATAAAATTGTTTTGCAGAGCGTCTTTAAACCATTTTTGATAAATTGTTAAGAACAAAAGTTTAAACCTATATAATAGAAGTTGAGAAAAACTACAATTATTGAGAACACGAAAATTTCTTGTTTCTCCGCAGCGTGGCGGCTTTGGTATAATGAGAGATGCTGAAATAAGTAATCTCGTGGTAAAATCGATTAGTGTACCGCTGCCACCGTTTTGATTTTAGAATGTTATTCTATCGTTATATATTAGGAGGGAAAAAATCGCCTTCAATTGAGGCACGTCAATCGTCCAAAGATCCGCAGAATGTGGCGCAAACATCCCGATCCCAACTACGGGGTTTGGAACAGTTGCAATATGAACTAACAAGCAAAGAACTGCATGCAGTATGCACAGAGAACACTAGCGAGGAATAATGATCAGCATTCGCTATCTCCTCGCAAAAAAAATTCCGCGTCGGCCCAAAACTTCAAAAACACTCTTCAAACACGGAACTCGCAGAAAAAGCAGGCCTACCGGAATCGTCTACTGTTCGTGACGAAATCGTCTCGCCATGGCAACCTTCGTTCTCATCAGACGACCGCGCGTCGTTACAAGATGTCTGGAAACTACTAGACGAGGACAGTTCTGGATTAACCCATCGCGGGGACGAAGTCAGCATGTCTCAGCTTCGGGAAAGTTTCTCAACTACGGACAGTTTCACGGTCAAAGGTCAGCCTAGTCACGTGCATCTCAAGCCAGAGTGTTCCAAGGCTGCGCTGTCTGTCAAGGCAGCTGGGAAATGGACACTCTCCCAGGTAAAAGCGAAGATAAGAGATTATAATATATAAGACGAAGATGTTCGCGAGGGATTGTAGATATTTTTATTTACCTATAATATTTGTTTTTAACAAGACCGGTCATTCATGGCAGTAGGAGGCTGTGTTGGGAATTTGTGTGTTTAACCCTCACTTCCAATCTGTCCTTAATTATCCAATTTTCTTACTTACTATTGATCCCCATGCAGTAATATTTATACCCATGACGTTTGCATGCATTATAATAATCATTCTATTTCCGCATAAAATCCAACACCCCCCCCCCCTATTATAATATAAAAAGTATTAGAATATAAAAGTTGTGCCTCGTTCATTGTTCACCGTCCCAATAAATGTTAACTTGATTGAATTCTAATTTTAACGCAACTGTTCGAAATATATGTTAAAATCTAAAGCACTAAGTTCTATACTGTCTTTCTTGTGCGACCAGATCTAATGATCTTGATCCCCTTACAAAAACTAACTATAGTTTCGACAAAATAACTATAGTTTTTTGCCTTAAAACTTTAGTTCTTCTGAACAACTATAGTTTCAGACGAAAACACTATAGTTATTCGTGACACTATAGTTTCCAAATACAGAAACTACAGTTTTTCGAAACTATAGTTTTGTTCCAAACTATACTTTAACTATAGTTGTTTTAAAAACTATAGTTTTCAACAAATAGTAGCCGCTGGAAACTATAGTTATAATTGAAACTAAATTTGAACTATAGTTTTTTTAAAGACCTATAGTTTACAACAAATGGTTACTAATAAAACTATAGTTATTCTAGAGAAACTATAGCTGCACTTTTTTATTTGCATAATCTGTAGTCAAGAAAAAGTGATTTGCGATACATATATATCTATATATAGATTTCGATTACCAATATTTAGCATACATTAACATTTACATACCTTTGTACTCAACACATAAGCGTGTTTAACCTTTGACCATCTTCAAGACTCTCAGAATCTTTTATCTTTTAACAGTTTCAGTAATTAGTTCAAGGAAAACGGCAGATCGGAGGAAAATCCCAAAAGAAATATGTTGGGATTAGTTGGGATATTTTGGGATATTTTGGGAAACTATCGCGTCGAGACGAGACGTGAATATCGATTATTCCCTAATATGGGCATGCTCGCATTTTAATTTGCCCACATGTCACCTGAGTATGACATGCCAACTCTCTTGGCGGCCATTTCGAATTTACCGACAACAGTGTTTTAAAGACCTCGGCAATTAAACGACTTAATGGCTTACGCTTTGGTTAATTTCTTCGAAGAGAATGCTTGGGATGTCATTCCATATTCCGATATTGTTTTTACTCAGGAACATAAACAAAATGAAATCGAGAACGGGACAAAAATGTTGGTTCTTTGGAAAGATACAAAATCCAAGAAAGCAACCAAAAGAAAATTCCCTGCCGAGATTGTAAAGATACAGGTTTGAAATTAAGTTTATATATTCCTTGAGTCATTATTGTTCGCCTTTGACGTTTTATGTCTTGAAATAAAGATAATTTATTTAGGGTAAGATGGGTTTTATAGTTAATATATTCAAGTCCTAATCATATAAATGATCCCAAATGATTCAGATCAGGCTGTTTTGAAATATAATCATGTTTGAAGTATGATTCATATCATGGTGATTGAAGTCCTAATCATCTAAATGATCCCAAATAATTCAGAGCAGAGTGTGTGAAGTCTCAAGTAATTTAATATTTGTCTATATAACAGCATATATTACTTCCCACTTTTAGATACGACATATTCAGAAATCAGCACCAAGTCCATCCCTGCCATAATCTTTGTTCATATTTGTTATATTTTAATTAAACAATAGATGACAAAGACTGGTTACTCAAATACATGAGAGAAGATGATTCTCCGGTTAAAACAGGCAAAGGTTTCCGCAAGCGTGTAAGAAATGCAAACAGTGTTATAAATGATAGCGACAGTGACACAGAAAGACAGGTAAAAGTCTTAAAGTTACAGAGATAATTTTTTCATTCCAAATTTTCTCTAACAAGGTGTTTTTTGAGCACATATACGAAAATAATAGTAATGAGCAAGTTATGTGCATAGTTTATATTCCCCACATTTATTTCTGATCCTGTTTTTCTTCAGCAAGAACCAGCTGCAACGAAGAGGCAGAAAGCAGCATCTAAAAATGCTGAGCAATCAAAGCGATCAACCAATCTGGCTAACATGATAAAGGAAAGATACAGGAAGGTTTGTATAGTTACAGGTCAAAAGGAAGCCTCTGTCAGAAAGAGTAAAATCACCTTGTATATAAGACGATGTGAAAGCTAAATGTTAACATTATTTAAGCTTTTAGCATTGAAATAGCAGTAATATAAAAGCTTCCTTATACTACCTGAGATGGTAGATAGACACATGAGTTAGTAAGAACACATTACATTCTTGCTTGTTGATAATTAGGAAAGATGCCAATTGGTGCACAGGCAGCACACATATGTATTCATTGCTTATAATTTTAATATTTAGGAAAGTCTTAAATTATTTGATGGCAACAGTGTATGTGATGAAGATTGCAAACATTTAAGAGAAAATAGAACGCTTCTGGCAACAATCAAACACCTAAAAAGTGAAAATGAAAGACTTCGGGAACAAATCGAAAGTAGTGATGGTAAGCTTGTTCAAAAAGATTTGTCCAACTTTTAATCAAAATGTGCCACAAGACGGGTGATCGGCGGACAATCCATGATCCTGGTGCATTAAGCTAGGGCAAGCCATTTATTTTGCCTTTTCCTCACCATTCATTAGCCACTCACAAAAAGGCAATGATTTTACTGTTATTCTGATTTCATGTTTCCTAGTCTTTGGCTAATGCATTTTAATTTTCTTATAGATTTAAAAGTTTCTTTGAGAAAACTGAAGAAGTATGTGGCATCCTTGGAAGGCTTTTCAAACCAAGCACTAAAATTTGGTTCACAACAGAGCGTACAAGCATACGAGCCTTCCGCAAGATTGTCTCCTTTGACAACCATGGATCATGGAAGATCGTCTCCTATTTCATGTGTGTCAAGCTCATCAACCAGATCTTCTCCCACATCGATGAGTGGTTTTTCAGAATTTGCTACAGAGGAACCAACCGTAATTGCAATTAGCGAAGACAACTTGTTGAAAGACAAAAGTAAGGAAATACAAGGCTGTGATGATGACAACTAGGTCCAGGAGTTAGAGAAGGACACATATGCTTCCTCAAAAATTTGTGGAAGTGACGAACAGTCTGGATTGGCTGATGTTATGGCAGATAAGGTAGGTCTTTCAAATGCACTGTAAATGGGAGAATTTTAAAATTTTACATTCTGATTTCAATACACGCAAAGTGGTTTAGGTAGAGTGTGTCTTGAAAATGGAATTATTAGTACCGTGGTTTAAAACATTTTGTTCATTGGATGACTTTACATTGTTTTTTTCACCTTTTTTACTAATTTATTGTATTGATTTATTTTCTAACAGGTTGTTCTCGGACCAGGCTTGTCGATTTCAAAGAATGTGCTTCAACGAATAAAGACGAAGAAAGTAGGATCATTTATCGCAAACCTGATGGGAGCAACACTCACAAGAGAGTACATGGCGACACACAGTTACAAAGGGCAGAAAGGGAAGAATGGGCAAACAAAGCCAAAGCTTGATCCAAACTACACAGCTTCCCTAATAAGTAAGTTTTTGGTTTTGAGTGTATACGTAATCTTTGTATTGCAAAGACGGACTATTTCTGTTTACCTAATCAGCATTTGAAGGAAAAACGCAGTGTTGGCATATTTACTGATTTAGTAATTTAGCCTTTCTTTATGTTTTGTGTAGAATACGCCAAGAGTGTAAGATACACCGAACTTCAGCGGCCTGTTATTGACGAGGACATTGTCAAAGCTATCAAGTTTAAACTGAACAATGAGGAACAGGCGTTCAAAAAGCAACAAGAATAACAGTATTATGGCACAGGAATTTTTTGAACATATACTAAGAAACGGTATCATTGTAAGAAATTTTTAGCCCTTTAAATTAATAGTAAATGCCTAAATTTCAAAACAGTAGTTCTTTTTTTATATTCTGCATTTATTATATACTAAATAATAAAATCCCCTGGTACTAAAGACCGAAGTAAAATAAAACGTAATCCCCTTTTTCGTTAAAACATCGTTTGATTATTGGCAGCATGACTAGAACTGTGTTAGCTTCGTGAAATTAAAGCTGCTTTGTGCAGCAGTTATATGGTAACGTCAAAATTATTTTTTTTTAAAGAATACCTTTTGCTTCCATGTAAAAACTAAGTTTCGAACAAACCTATAGTTTTTAACCTATGTAGTTTTTCACTAAACAACTATAGTTTCAGACACTATAGTTTATTCCAAATACTACACAGTTATTAAAACTATAGTTTCGCCTTTAAAACTATAGTTATTTTGTAAGGGTCTAATGACCTGTCTTCAATTGGCTACTGGAACTTAGCTAGACTCCTTAATTGGGCGGTCACGTTCTCTGTAGGCTTTCTCTCACGCCGTCCATCTAGCTTCTAACTCACGAGGCCAGTTTGGCATCCCAGGGGACCTTAGCGTCACAACACTCGTGGTAGAGGAACTTTCCTTGCAGAATAATGGGCGAAATCAACCCGAGAGGATCATAAACTTTCGCGATCCTTCCGAGGACTCCTCGCTTCGTCGGACTTGCTGGGTCAGCAGGAAACTAGATTTTGTATGGCTTGAGCATGTATGGCTTAGGCGGCCAAAGGAGTGGAAATTCTGTCCCAAACAGCTTGGACCTCACACTATTTTAGGAAGACTAGGCGTAAATTATAAGATTAGATCAGAAACAGGTCGAGAGTTCATGGTCCATCACGACAATCTAAAACCTTACTTTATGCCTACTGAGCAGGGAAAGTTTGCTTGT